AGGCGTGGGAAACCTGCCTATGGTCTTCTGGATCCTTGATGGCGGCCTTTTGACTGAATCCAAATTTTACAGAACAAATCCTTTTATTAAAAGAGGTGTAGCAGACAAAAATGAACATTTTCCTGCCTCCTTTGATGCTTAAAAAAGAACAATCTTGAAATCAGAAGACCACAGGCCTGCATTCTACCACTCCCACCCCCCCTTCACCCTCCTGTCCCCTAGTGAACTACTTCAGTCCTCCGTCTCAGATAAGCATCCTCGCCTCTGGTGTGCCTGCCCTGAGTCCAACTCCTTTGCTCTGGGAGCCTCCAGTGTGCTCCCCTTACGCTTATTGCTCTCCTGGTGAACTGCCCCCATCTCTCCTCCTACGCTCTTGCGCTCTGTGCATGGAAGGGCTGTGTTGCCTTTTCCACTGTGTTGTTGAGGCGTTCAATAAAGGCTCTGAATTAACTAAACTCATGAATCACAGTCTCTAGAGCAGAAAGGACTCAAGAACAAAATCTGCACCAACTCAACTTCGATTCCTCCACCTCGTAGGAAGGAGCCTCAGGAATGGTCACTGCACTCTGTACAAACCCAAATTCCACAGTCTGGCAAACACCAGACTGACCAGAAGAGACGCTGGCTTCGAAATACAGTCCAGGGGCACGCTTCCAGAAGTGACTAACACGCCGGAGTCACGATGTGCTCCCTGGAAAGCCACAGCCCCACCCACGCCGCTACCCGGCGGAAGCGCCTAGCGCCCGGCTCTGCGCACGCGCAGTGGCGCCGCGGCCGAGGGGCGGGCAGTCCTCACGGAGCAAGCGTGTAGGTTGGCTCATGCCCCGCGGGAGGGGTGGCCCAGGGACGCCGCCCGTATCTCCCTGGGCCCTGTCACGAAAGATGCAGCCTCCACACAGGCGTGCGGCCACCCGTCCCCAATTCCGCTTCTTCCTCTTCCGTCCTAGAGCTGCTCCTCACCCCCACTCCGCACGCCGTCCTCAGGAAAGCCAGCAACCCGCGCCGCCCGCAGCTTCCTCGCAGCCGGCATACAGCGCCCGCTCCTGTCTGATGGACACCGGAAATGGCTCTGGGCCGCACCGGAAGCTCCGCCTTTCCCAACACCACCTCCGCCCGGGGTTGGGACACCCAGTACGCGGTCCAGTCTTGCTTCTGCACCGCTACTGAGGAGCAAAGGAAGTTATTCTTGAGACTTGCTCCCGCAAGGGCTCGGCCTGCTAGGCCGAGATGCACGAGGAAAAACAAAAACCTCCGCCTTCGCTCGGTATCTCTTTTCCATTCCACAGCACCATTGTTGGACCAAGTGCTGTTGAGTAGCTTTCTTTCCCTCCACCCCCCCCTCCTTCCACTTCTTATCCATTCTCGAGGGGTAACTCAGAAGTTACACTTTCTTTCACATCTCTCAACCTCAGCATTTTCTCCTTAGCTGCATGACTAGCACCTGGCACTTACTGCTTTTTCCATTGACCACTATCTCAGGCGTGATGTCCCTCCTTTCATGCATCAGCTATTCCAAAACCTTACGCTGTGGTTTCCCACCCTGCCTCTCTCTCAGATAGAGCTAGCACAGACTCTGCCTACCTGTTCCTAGGGGAGCTATACCTTGGTACAGTAGAACCACCTGCCCCCCCAACACACATATTGGGGGGCTCTACTTGTCTCCTCTTGATCCAGGTAAGGTATTTGGACTTAAATTCAATGCAGAGATGGTCATCCTTACGTACTCACTATGAAAATGACTAAATGAACTTATGAAGCAGTCTGATTTAATAGGATACACACTTCGGTTACACTAATGGAACCCCTTGATAAAACCGCTGCTCTGCCCTTGGCTGGGGATGAACACACTACGGGAACACCATCCAACGCCTGTCAGAATCCCGCGTATCAGCCCCAAAGATGTCAGGGTGGAAGTCTGTTCTTGGTGTGCTCTTGGCGGAAGAATGGCCAAACACACCGAAGTGTCAAGTCCAGATTATTATCCCAGTTCTCTGACTCCTTCCTTGGAAAAATCACCAGCAAGGCCAAGACGATGGAGGAACCTCAAGCAGGGAGCAGTTTCCCAAGAGCAGTTCTTTACTGTAGAATAAAACGGGTCTGTCTCCGCAACTGGAGACAGATCAACTCACTCACTGACTGACCCACTCACTACTCTCTGACTTCTCGGATTGTTTTCATTTATTAGCCCAGTCTGGAGGAGGGCTTGTTAGGGACAGAAAAACAAGAGGTAATGGAATGTTAGGGATAGAAAAACAAGAGATAATGTTATGATAGGAGCAGAAAAACAAGGCAGAAACAGTTAAAAATATAAGAAAGAAATAGTTACAGAAAAATAATCAGGGAAAAAGTTATTTCAGTCTTAAAGAATGGGTTAATTAGACCATGGAACAGGGCCCAACCAATCAAAAAATAGAAAAACACCATGAACAGTGACTTTCCCCATCACACATATAAGAGAAAGGAATGTCTGGAACCTAACCTTTAAGTTATGTCCATACCTGGAAACATCCAGACCCTCAAACCCGTGACATATAGGCATAAGTAATTATACCTGACCTTTACATCAACATATACTACTAGCATATAAAAGGAAAAACAGACCAGGCGCAGTGGCTCACGCCTGTAATCCTAGCACTCTGGGAGGCCGAGGCAGGTAGATCGCTCAACGTCGGGAGTTTGAGACCAGCCTGAGTAAGAGCGAGACCCCCATCTCTATTAAAAATAGAAAGAAATTATCTGGACAGCTAAAAATATATATATAGAAAAAAATTAGCCG